GTATCCCAGAGTAAAATGGGACAAAGAGAATGACGTCAAAAAGGAGAGAGGTGGGCTCCCATGTTGGGACAAAATTCTTCCCCCAGCCTCCTCCCTCATCTAAGCAGGCTTGAGATGCATTTGTCTCCCCAAACGCCCACCCCTAGCATCCTGCCTGTGACCCCATGACCCATCTTGCCTTCTCTCCATCCCACCACCAGGGCGCTGAGCACCATGGGGAAGACTGTACACTTAAGTTACAGAACTTACTGGGTCCCTAGCCCCATCTGTGGCTGAGTCTGGAACCTGCTCAGGACCTCAAGCATGCCCAGGTCAAGGGTTCTCAAATCAAAGGAGCCCCTCACCAAGGAGCATGCCCTGTGCTCTGTCTGCCCGTTTCAGCATCCGGGAAATCTCACTTGGAGCCTCTGCCCTCCCACCTGTAAAATGGGGATAATGACAATGCAGTTACTTGCTCCGTAAACAAGGGCCAGGAGTTTATTTGTATTTTATATGTACAAATGTTTGTAGGTGTGCCATACGTGTGCAGTGCCCATGGAGACCAAAAGAGGGCATGGAATACTCTGGAACTCAGATCATACAGGATTGTGAGTGGCCATGTGGGTGCTGGGAACCGAACCTGAGTGCTTTAGAAGAGCCGTCCTCTGGAAGTGCTCTTAACCACTGAGCTATCTCTCCAGCCCAAGGATTGAGGTTTTATTGTTAGGATTAAATAGGTATACAGTACTTAACATATGTTCTGGACACTTCATAAATTTCAACAATTGATAAAATCTTGAAATCAACCAGGTGTGGTGGCACAAAACTATAATCCCAGTACTTGGGGTGCAGAGGCAGGTAGATCTCTGTGAGTTCAAGGCCAGTCTAGTCTAAATAGTAAATTCCAGGACAGTCAACAGTACATGGAGAGACCCTTTCTCAGAAAAAAATATAGTTTTTTCATATGATACTTCATATATAGTCACATATATTTATCATATATAATATTTCATGCATACATATCAGAAAATATATGTGTATATATCATAGCTTCTGTGAAGTTCTTTGTCTTCAACTATGAAGTTAACACCTACCCCCATCTACCTACCTCCCAAGGGATCCCTCTGATAAAGTTTCAAGTTCAGATCCTGGCATAATGAGGGAAACCCCTCCTTCAGAAAAGATACTTAGCCCCTTGGACACTCCAAGCACACCTCTGGCCTGCCCTGGAGTTCTCCCACTAGATGGGCCAGGTCCAGCTCTGACACTCTGTCTGCCCCCTAGGCTGGGTTGTCAGCACCCCTTACTGGTATGATAAAGATGCCTCAGTGCTCCCTCCGCTGGGAGCCAGGGTGGTGTGGAAAATAAGGAACAAGCCTAGAGGGAAGGCTGCTCCCTGGGACTGTCTGGGACCCATCTATCGGGTAGTGCAGGAATCACAAATATGAGTAGTTACCCCCTGGGGTATTGACAGAGCCGCAATAACTGTGATCATTAGTAACTGGGGCGTACTAAATATCGGGTGTGGATAGGGTGCGTTAACACTCACGCTAATAACCCGTGGGTGACCACTGTGATTACAATGCCTATTCTGCACACAAGGAAAGAGAGAGAGGTCATTTACGTAAAGTCACACAGCTGGAGGGGGCAGGTACAGTCTGCTCTACAGACCTGGCTATCCCCGGAGTCCAGCCGTCTCCTCACTAGGATTATTTAAAAGAAGTTGATACAAGCACGCGCTGTGTTGTCAGGGAAACCACGGGTTGTGGCCAGTCATAACATGGAGACATGCGGCTCAGAATGCTGCATGGGGCATCAGGAGTTGAGCTGTTGCTCCGAGGCTGTAGCATGGCATTTGACCAGCCCCTTCCCTCTGGGCCCCTGTGTGATGAGTTAACCACATACTAGGGAGTGGCTTCTGACACAGATTCGCCCTCTGCCCGCCTCCATCACACCGCTGCTTCCAACACAACACACCACCAACTTTACACCCATGTAACACAAAGCTTTTTTAAAAATTGCTTTTGTTTATGTGAATGCTTTGCCTCCGTGTATGCAGTGGCCAGAAGGGGTCATTTAGATCCCCTGGAACGGGAGTTACAGACGGCTGAGAGCTGCTGTGTGGACGCTGGGAACAGAACCCAGGTGCTCTGCAAGAGCAGCCAAAGCTCTTAACCGCTGCGCTGTGTCTCCAGTCCCAACCCAAAGCTTTCTAATCCGGGGTCCTTTGGGTCTCTTCAGATTTGGGCCATAAACTGTCTAGGATTATGAGTAAAATTGAATATGAGTGTGTGTGCACATGTACACACGTGTGTGAGTGTGCACATGTGTGCATTTGGTTTTTTTGTTGTTTTTTTTTTTGTTTTTTGTTTTTTTTTTTAGTTTTTCGAGACAGGGTTTCTCTGTGGCTTTGGAGGCTGTCCTGGAACTAGCTCTTGTAGACCAGGCTGGACTCGAACTCACAGAGATCCACCTGCCTCTGTCTCCCAAGTGCTGGGATTAAAGGCATGAGCCACCAATGCCCTGCGCATGTGTACATTCTTGTGTGTAAATGTGCTTTCCAGGAAACATCACCAGATTCTAATCCCAAAGCTAAGAATCATTAGGGTTTTTTTTTGTTTTTTATCATTAATTTTTTAAATTTGTGGAATTCCCTTATTTTTCAATGAAAGGCTGTATGGACAATGGAACAAGGAGTTTCCCAGGCCCTTTGTAGAACATGGAGAAGAATGATAATGTGGCATGTTTTTCCGATTCAAGAGAGACGACGCTGCATTGTCCAACTTCCATCTGTCACACGCAGATTCTGTTTGTATCATGCTTATTTATTTAGTGTGTGTGTTCGTGTGTGTGTTCGTGTGTGTGTGTGTGTGTGTGTGTGTGTGTGTGCTATAGCAGATCAGAGGGCAGTCTATGGGAACGAGTTCTCTCCTTCCCCCACATGGGTCCTGGGGACAACACTCAGCGGCCACCAGACTTGCCCGCAAGCACCTTTATCTACTCAGTGTAATAACACTTACTCTCTATGGCTTGATGTAGGTCTATGGGGCAAGGATCAATTTAATCTTTTGGGGAATGAGGGAAAAAGCAAAAGCAGCTGTGAAATCCTTCCCTTCATCTTACCTGAAGTCCCTCTTGCTTCCTGGATCTCCACCAGCTGCTGCCGCCCTAGGATCCCATCCGTGAGCCACACTGGCCTCTCAAGATTCACACTCCCACAGCCTCCATTCTGCCCGAACAGTGACAATACAAGCCACTCTGTCTTGTCTTTCAGAGTCTTCCTCACCCCCTATGTCCTCCCCCAGACAGTCTTGGCAAGGACCAGTGTGCCTTCCCAGAGGCAGGTGCAGTAATCAAGATGGTTGGCAGTGGTCACATTTGCACACACTGTGTAACCCTGGCTGGTGGAATGGTGTCTTGGATGTAAGGCCTGTGTGGTCAAGAAGACCTGTGTTCTTCACCTCTGACCTTTCACCTTTGAAGGCCTCAATTTTCTCATCTGTAGAGACAAGTTACCTAGAACCGCTGGACAGTTGCTAGGCAACCCACCAGCATCTATATCCTATGTACCTTTCTAATTGGTTCTGGGTCAGGCAAATCATTAGGGATAGAACAAGGTGACCCCAGACTTGACTAAGAAATTGGGGCCATGGGGGCTGGAGAGATGGCTCAGAGGTTAAGAGCACTCTCTTCCAGAGGTCCTGAGTTCAATTCCCAGCAACCACATGGTGGCTCACAACCATCTACAATTCAGTCTGGTGCCCTCTTCTGGTATGTAGGCAGAACACTGTATATGTAATAAATAAATAAATCTTAAAAGCAAAGAAATTGGGGCCTACTGCCCACCCACTTAAGAAAACATCCTTGAGAGAAGATAGTGCTAAATCTGGCACCCCAAAAGACTTAGCAGAGATAGGTAAGGAAATTGAGACACCTCCCACCCCCACCCCACCCCCTTGGAGACTCTGCAAGGATAAGAAAGTGCAGCCCCTGGGTGACAGGCAGCAGCCTTAGGAGAATGGCTTCTTGTCCACTTTTGAGAGAGCTCTGGTGGGCCTGGTGGGAAGGGACAGTGCCATCCTGCCTTCAGCTGCTGAAGATTTCAAGATCACAGCATAGGAGGGCAATAGTCCAGGGAAGCTGGGTGATCCCTGCAGACATGTGCAGGGATGGTGGGGGGCTCAGAGACCCCTCCGATGAGTAGACATCCCGACCCAGGCTTTCATCACAGAACAGAACACAAACACAACAACAGTGTAGAACATGCCGTACAAAAAATTATAATGAGCCTGAAGGAAGGGTTCAGGGTGCAATGGTGGGGAATCACAGCATCTGGCCACCCCAGCACAGGGAGAACCAGGAGGGGATGAGCAGTAAATCAGAAGAGCAGTACCTGGGGTCTCTGGGAAAGACGAGTCGGCACTTGGAGGCAGCCCCAGGCTTGGGCCCAGAAAACAAGAAGGCTGGGGGTGAACTCAGGGTGGGGGGGGAAGAAACCACCCCCTGCACACTCAGAACTCTGTGTGCATGGGTGCTGCACCTCCAGACAGAACACAGAGGGCTTTGGGGTACTGCCCAAGGAAGCTCAAGTGGCTAGTGCGTGCTCCCTGCTCTCTGAGCTAGTGTACAGGACGGGGTTCACTGCTGACAAGGAGGAGGGGCGTTTCCATGGCGCGCTGGGTGTGAGCTGCATGCACCTGGCTCCTGAGGGACTCAGCCACATCTAGAACCCTTGTGTGGTGAAAAAGCTATGAGGACACTCTGAGGACTTCTGGGCTAGCCTTCGCTCTGGTTTTCGTCTCCATACCATCACAGGGTTGGACACACAGTGAGTTCTCACTTCTCCATGATCCATGAAGAATCAAGAGCAGCCCAGGCCCCTCCAGACCTTGAGGCAAATCCTCTGACCAACCCCAACACACATACACTCACAATAGACACACCCTATATGCACACACACCACAGAGAGAGACAGAGACAGAGAGACAGACAGAGACAGAGAGAGAGAGAGAGACAGAGAGAGAGAGAGAGAGAGAGAGAGAGAGAGAGAGAGAGAGAGAGAGAGAGAGAGAGAGAGAGAGAGAGAGAGAGCCTTGGGAGCCTGGGCACAATCGGGACCTTGTGTTCTCTACATCCTCCAGGGTCTTCCTCACAGTTTTCCCACACTGAGCCTGACACAGATTGTGTCCAGCCCCTGCCTGTCTAGGCCTGAGAGACTCTGAGGCAGTTGGCAGATGTGATTCTACAGGCAGCCAGCCTACAGGCCTGGGGCCCACAATGCTGGTCCTCTGGAGTCCCTGGGGAGACCAGGCTGCACAGTGGAGTGGGGTGAAGCTTAAGGAGACTGTCTGGGCTCCCAGAATGAGCTGGGAAAGGACCAGTTACGCCAGCCTACCCCAGCCTAGCTCTCAGCTGTGGCCGTGGCCGGTGGGTGGCAGGGGGGGACTGGCCTTTTGTGAGAGGGCGTGTGCTGGGTAGTGAAGGAACAGGCATTTGGCTGAAGAGTCTGGCTGGAGAACCTCCCTTCTGGGGTGTACAAGGAGAGGGTACCCAAACTCTTCCATTACAGTAAATAGGAAGCAACAAGTTTCCAGCCTGAAAAAGAACAGGACCCCACCTCTACCCCCACCCCCACCCCCAAGAAGGGCTGGAGAGGATGGGTAGGGGAGGTGATGTACCTGCAACAGGTCAAGCTGCCCCCCCATCTCTGCCCTATTTCTAATCCAGCTATGATGTCATCTTGTAATTCAGGGCTTTTCAATGGGGGTGGCTCAGGGGCTCCAACACCCTCAGAAGTGGTGATCTGCAGGGCTGTGGTCCCTCTGGGTCTGCTTCAGAGGGTGGACAGGGTTTCCAGGGAGATGACCCGTGTGACCCTTGCTCCTGGAGAAGGGGCTGCAGGGATGGCAATTGTGAGGACCTCTGGGCCCCACCATGGGTTGTGGCAACTTGAAATTCATTTTGGTCTGAGGAGAGGAGCACCTTTCATCTGTGGAAAAAGAGACAGACAGAACCCAGGTTTAGATGATAGCCTTCAAAGATCTCGTTTTCTTCCAAGACCAGCCACTCTGATGGCTGAGCCGCCCCTCCCTCCGCAGGCTGGCGGTCGGTAATGGGGACAGTGACTACCCCTTTGCCTGAACTGTGAACCAGGCTGCCTTCCCACAGCCAGCCGTACCCGGGCACTTGGGGTAAAAGGCCTTAGATACCAAAGGGCAGGGAGTGAGCTTGTGGGATGCTATGGTGGACAGGAGGCGCAGGCAAGGGTTTGGACTACTATGATCGCTTTCCTAAAAACACAGCTGTGCCTCCAGGACTGCTACTGGACCCGCTGGGAGCAGGGTTTGGGGGACAGTAGGTAAAACGCATCTGCCTTGAGGGTGTGGGCAGCTGAGGTGAGGTGTATCAGCCACTCCCTCCATCCCAGAGCAGTTGGCTGCTCCCAAACCCAGCCCAAGATCTGGTTGTGTCCGCAGGGAGCCACGGGGCAGGGTGAGCTACAGTCTAATCCTTGACCTTCCACTGGCTCACTGTGGAACAGAGAATGGAGCTCGGGATTCAACAAAAGCATTTGCTCAAGGACCTGGAATGTGGCCGGGCTCAAAGTCATGCCAGCTTTGGGGCTGGACATGTAGCGCAGCCGGTAAAGAGTGGTTGCCTCGCATTCGAGCATGCGCAAAGCCCTGGCTTCAGACACCAGCACTTGGAAGGGGGATCAGAAATTCAAGGTCAAGTTCAAGGTCAGCTTGGGCTACAGGAGACCCTGGCTTTTAAAATCCTAGCCACCATTACTCTTAAACGTATCCTACCCTTACTAAAATGCTCAGTTTTCCCATTTAGATTACCCCAGAACTGAGTATCAACTATGATACGAAAGACTCCAATTATTAAACTGGCGGGTTGTTGTTTGTTTGTTTTTTTCTGAGCTGGTGATAACCGACATCTTGTAGTTGATTACAGCTTTGATTTTTATGGAGTAAGGTGCTTAGTTGCTGAAAAGGTAGAACCCCTCCCCCATACTGAACTCACAGCTCTGTGTCCTCCAGGGTAGGTGGGCGCTCCAGAGCCTGCCTGCGCCTCCTCACGGCCCCCAAAATCTTCTTCCGAGGCCCCAGGGGCACGCTGATGCTGCGGAGGTCGAGGTCAGAGCACAGCATCAGGGCCTCCAGGTCAATCTTCTCCTGCCGCAGGAGGGAGGCAAAGTCCTCCAAGTACAGTGAGGCCAGGAAGGTCTCCAAGGGGCTTGTCTCGGGCTCCAGGTCCTCATCCAAGCCCAAGTCTAGCTCATCCCAAGGCAACTCCTCCCCGCAACTGCGGTCCTGCAAACTGTTGGCACTGCCCAGGCTGTCGTCGTCCAGGCTGGGGGAACTCTGCAGCCGACCCCGCGGCGTCCCTGCCCCATCCAAGCCCCCGTCTTCGCGGCCCAGCCCGTGCAACCCGCTGCTCAAATAGTTTCTTCGAAACACCATGGTACCCAAGCCGGGGCGAGTAAACAAGGAATCGTGACCTGAGTCTGTGCTGACCTCCGAGTGGGCAGGCTCGGCAGCCAGCGTGGCACGGGAGACACTGTCCTCATCGGAGAGGAACATGTCCCTGAGCGGGGCACGGCCCCACTCTTTGGGGTTGGCGTAGGTTCCCTGGCGCACAAACATCACATCGCTGCCTAGCTGCAGGCCCGAGAGCGATCGGACGCTTTTGCGTCCGTCCTCAGAGACCTTGAAGGTGCCCTCGCCCCCCTGCTTGCGCCTCTCCAGCTTCTTCTGGATCTTGGCCTTGCCCTTGGCGGTGCCGTGCAGCGTGGCCTGCGAGTAGGGCAGCTGGCTGCCCAGCGTCATGTGCTGCAGCCGGCGGCTCAGGGTGCTGGACGTGAGGCTGGAGAAGCTGAGCGCGTCGGAGCGCTCGGCCAGCTCTCGCCGGTAGCGCCGCTCCATGCGCTCGTGGTGCTTGCGCTGCATCTTGGCGCACTCGCGAATGCGCCGCTCCGCCTCTCGAAAGGCCTTGTCCTTCAGCTTGCCCACCAGCTTGGGGTTGAGGCTGCTCTGCTTGGCTGCGATGGAGTCCAGATAGCGAACGCACTCCATGTGGCCCTTCATAGCGGCCATGTCCAGTGGCGTGTGGTAGTCATTGTCCAGGCACCAGATGTTGGCCCCGAAGGACACAAGGAAGGACAGGCAGTGCAGATGGCCATTGGATGCTGCCAAATGCAAGGGTGTGTTTCCCCAGATGTCACACTTATCCGGGTCACCCCTGTAGGGACAACACGTGGAGAGGAAGATGAGTCCTTTTAGCAAACCAAACCGTGGGCTCAGGTTGGAGGTATAAGGAATCTGGGTTGGGGGAAACCGGAAAAAGAAAGGGAAGTCCAGAGACATGGCGAGCTCCCTGGACCTGCAGCACCGCATTCCCCTAAAGCGGTAGTTTCCAAAATGTGGGTCGCGATCCCAACAGGGTCACATATCAGACACTCTGAATATCAGATGTTTTCCTTGCAATTTGTAACAGCAGCAAAATAACAGTTACGAAGTGGCAACGAAGTAAGTATATGGTTGGGGGTCACCACAACACAAGGAACTGTATGAAAGGGTCGTAGCATTAGGAAGGTTGAGGACCACTGTCCTAAAGAAACCCACGGACCTGAGACCTCTACTCCCAGGAGATGAGCCAACAGATGTGGCAGGATTGAGCCCTGCGCAGCGGTGTGGGGATGGTCCAACCCACAAGGGGGCGGGGCTACCTAGGAGGCGGGATGGGGCGGGCCTTCCCCTAGAGAACTGAGGGCTGGGAATCTCAGGGGATAAATATTTGATGCGCTGAAAGAAAGGTGTGAATTATTCATGGGCCCTGTGGGGAGCTGGCCCAGAGAGGTGGTGGGCCAGGGCTGAGTCTGGGTCTCTAGGCGGGTGAGGTGGTTTGTGAAGCCACATGTCACAGGGTGACTGTGCAGGAGGACTAGAGGGTAGTGTGTGCTGGGCCTAAGCCTGGAAGAGCATGAGAGGGCGCCTGCTGGCATGCAGTGGGCACCGCCATGTCTGCAGGGAGCGGGGCCAGGCCTGGCAATGCCAGTGTGAGAGCAGGTGTCGGGTCTTGGCCTGGGCCAGAAGGGGACCGTGGGGACAGCCAGAGCTGGAGAAGAAGAGGGTTGGCGGCTGGCTGTGCTGCTCTCCCTTGTTCAGGTCGCCTTTTGGAGTCGGTGGCCTGGCCCCTCCAGCAGCCCTCTCTAATGCCCCTTCAGCAGCCCTCTCTAATGCCCCCTCCAGCAGCCCTCTCTAATGCCCCCCAGGTCCGGCTCAGGCCATAGCCCAGCTCCTGCTGGCTTCTCTACCAATCTTGCCTCTCTCTCTTTCTGGTCTTAGCGCCGGACCCTGGCCCGCACTAATGACGCCACAAGGCCAGCCCAGAGCCCGGGCAAAGAATCACTCCCCTGTCTCGGCACCTCCTGGCATACCCCCCACTCCCACCCCCTACTTCGGCTTCCCCTCTGATTGCCAAGTCTCCAAGGATACTGTGAGGAAGTGTTGCTCAGTAACAGGCCCCCCTCAACAAGCACAGATCCTTGCTTCTGTAGGACTCGAGGGCTTCGGAGGGCCAAAGGCAAACCCTCTTTTCCTTCAGGCCCCTGCATGAGACTCCCATGAGTCTCTCTGAGGGATGCTCAGGGGGGATAGTACGACTGTGTGCCCTCCTGAAGAGTCTTGGCCTGTAACTGCCTCAGCTGTCTGACCCCAGACAGTTCCCACCTACTGCTAGACCCAAGGGGCAGCAGCGGGAACAGTGAACCCCTCCCGCACATATGGAGGCATTCCAAACACCGGGTCAACACAATCCCCGCCGCTGTCACTGCCCTTGACCCCAGAGCCTGAGACATTGACACGAACCCTCTTGGGGCATCCTTTTCCTGTCCAGGCCACACCAGCCTTACCAGACTGTTGCGTTATGATATTTCCAGTAAGCTGATTCCGTCCCTTCCCCCCCCCAGCCCATTTCGGTGACCCTGGATCCTATATTGCTTGACCCCCTTCCGGGTGGACTCTGTGCCCACCCTCCCTTCCAGGACAACTCCAGAAGGAGGATGCGGCCAGATACCCTCTCTGCACAGCATGGCTTCCCACTCACTGCCGGGTCCTGCGGTGGGGGAGGGGTAGAGAGAGTTAATCCCTGGCTGAACCAGTGGCATTTGGTAGTGTGGACAGTGCCCATAAATCTCGGGAGTGGAGTGGTGAGAAGGCGCAGGTCAGTGCGAGGCTGGTCCTGTGGGAGTCACTGATGCTGTGGGGACAGCCTTTGGACTCCGAGGTTGGGGAGTAGGCAGCGAAGGTCTCTGCTTTCTGACCCACCCTTCTGCGCCCTCGGAGACTTCTCAGCCCTGGCGCCCACATTCCCTTCCTTCTTGCTTCCAGGCACCCCAACCCAGAAACGCCTTTGACCTTAGAATCACTCTGCAGTCCCCATTCCATAATCACGGACACCTCCCCCCATCACAGTTCCTCTCCTCTAAGCCCTACATACTTTTCACAAAGTGTCACAAGTGTCCCCTCCACATGTGTCTCTCAAAGTATGGCAGGCTGCACGGCCTCACCTTAGGGGTTATCCATATGGGAAGACAGCATCTCAGGGGGAGGGCAAGCGATGCCGGGAGGTTTGGGACATGGGGATTCTTATGGTTCCCTGCTGGCTGAGTAGAGAGTGTACTCACCCTCGGCTCACAATGAGGCGCAGCGACTCCAGGTTGCCATGGTAGGCAGCCCAGAGGGTGGGGGTCATGCCATCCTCGTCGGGGGCATTCAGCTCCTTCCGGGTGGCCTCCTTGAGGAGTTCCAGATAGCCATCCCTGGCGGCCCGGTGATACTGGTCATTCATGGCGCCCCACGTTGGACAGGTCGGGCAAGGGGCCCCGAGGAATGTCCCCCGACGGGGAGGGCAGCCGGGTTAGGACTGAAACATGGGTTTGAGGAAAGCGACTGTGCAGGGGCCGCCCCTGCTGCCACAGATGGGAGATGAGGAGCGCCAGAGCTGCGACTACAAGACTACCGGGACATTTGAGCTGCGCACCAGGGGAGGAGGGGGGAAATCTCTCACTGACCGGGAGCCGCCCAGGAGCTTCCCCTGGGTCCTAAACGCCCTGCTTTCCAGCACACGGGGGTGACTCAAGTGAAGTCCAGCTCTCTCGCGCCAAAGCGTCTACTCTGGCCCCTTGAGGCCCAGTATAGGGACATTTAGTATGTCTTCGACAGAGCTCCGAGCGCTGGACTCCCTGATTTCTTCACCCGTCGAAAGGAACCTGCCAAGGGTCGGAGAATGGCATCTGAGGGTGGGATGGAGAGGAAGCTCTGATCCGAAGGACAGTGGGTCTAGAAGAACAGGAAGACCCACTTGAAGACAATCCAGAAGCAGGGCGCAGCAGTCCCGGTAGAGCTAGCCTACTCGCGTGGAGTCACAGCTCTCCTGCAGGGGGCGCTAAACGATTGCGAGCCGGCTGCGGACACTGCGTGGGAACCAGACTTGGCAGCATCCAACCTGAATCTCCAAGCAGCAGTAGTAAGGGATACAGAAGACCGAACTTGGATCACTCTGAGGGCAGGCTGGGAAAAGGAGAACTGTTGCCCCCGATCTCGGGGCAGCCAGCAAGATCCAAGATATAGCTGACTCCTGAGCTGCAACCGCGTCTAAGTGCAAGCGGTCACTGGGGGTGGGGGGTAGGGGGCCCAGCTCTGCAGGCTTTGGGTGGGTGCGATCTCTTAGTACCAGGTTGCAGTGGGCATTGGGGGAGGAAGACCCTCTAGGTACCGCAGTATGCGGCCTCGCCTGAGCCCTGGTCACGCCAACGCGACAGGGTGAGGGGATCTTAACAGGTAAATATAAATAAATCTCACCTTATCTGGCTTCCTTAAATTCAGCTCGGAGAAAAGATGGATCATGTGAGTGGGACTGAGAGGTTTATGGAGCCGAGCTCTTGTGGCTGTAAATCACTCTGCCCTCTCCGGTATAAAGCACTGGTCCAGCCCGGCGTGGGAGAGAGGAGACGCCTGCTGCCCCTTAACCCCCAACTTGGTGTCGGCTCCCGGTGCAGCCAGGTGCGTGTCCCTGTTCAGGAGACTGTCAGATTTGGGGAGTGGGACCTTGTGCCACTGCTTCTTTCTGTACAATATTTCCGGTCCAGGTGGGAGAGTTCAGTTTTTCTCTTCTTTTTCCCCAGTGCTTGGTCTAGCATCCGTAGTCCCACATTCCAGGGTCCCAAAATCCAGGGATCACTTAGGAGGAAAGGAAAGCCCCCTGGGTCTGTGTTGACCTGGAAAACTGTCCCCCCCCTCCCACCCTACCCCAATCCCACAGTGATCCCTTCAACCTCCTCCGGTCGCCCCCACCATGTCGGAGGAACTGGTCCAGCACCCCAAGGAGAGCCTGCCGGCGCCACGAACCAGCCCCCGCGAGGTGTGGAAAAAAAGGGCGGCCGCTTGCTGTCGGTGCTGTTGGCTGTTAACGTGCTGCTGCTCGCCTGCACACTCATCAGCGGTGGTGCCTTCAACAAGGTGGCCGTGTATGACACCGACGTGTTCGCACTGCTCACTACCATGATGCTGCTGGCCACGCTGTGGATAATCTTCTACCTCCTCCGCACTGCGCGCTGTCGGGATGCGGTGCCCTACCGGGATGCGCATGCCGGCCCCATCTGGCTCCGAGGTGCCCTGGGAGATGGGGACAAGAGAGGGGTGGGCACGCTGGGGAGCTGCTGTCTGGTGCTCCTGGAGGACTTGCAGGGTGTGACTTTGGGTAGACAGGTGTGCAGTTCCCTGGGAAGAGCGATGTGGCTGAGAGCTCACTGGGGTGGGATGCAGGGGGGGGCGGGGTGGAAGGAGAGAAACTAGAGGATAGACAAGCTTCTTTGCCTTGTGTAAGACTGGACCGAGATGGTCATGCACAGCCTTTGACTGTGAGCAAAGCTACAAAAAACAAGAACAAAAAGTAAAGGACAGCCGCCGGTGGTGGCGCACGCCTTTAATCCCAGCACTCGGGAGGCAGAGGCAGGCGGATCTCTGTGAGTTCGAGGCTGGGCTGGACCGATAGCCTCCAAAACAATACAGAGAAACCCTGTCTCGAAAAAAAAAAGTAAAGGACAATAGCAGCTGACAAGGTCTGTCCCCAGGCTGTCCCGCTGTGTGCAGTGGAGGGGACGAGTGATGTCCACCCTCTTCCCACTCACCACGCCCTCGTCTTTCACCCACCTGTTCATCTTCCAGTCCTTCTGTTTATCCATGCCACTATTCACCATCTGTTTATGGCCCTCATCCTCCTCACCATCCATCCATCCACCTGCTCACACCCTCATCCATCTGCCCAGTAACCTCTCAGTCCATCCATCCATCCATCCATCCATCCATCCATCCATCCATCCACCCATCCATCCTCCTAACCTCTCCACTCATCCATCCATTCACCTGTTCATTTATGCACTCGACCCTCAATTTACCCATTCATTCATCTTTCAGTCACACATTTGACCATTCGTGCATTCATCCATCCATCCTCCCAACCTCTCCGCTCATCCATTCTTCCGTCCAGTTGTCCACCCGTTCCCTGCACACACCCCCAACTAGCCACTCACCTTCAGAACCCATCCTCCACCCTACAAAGCCCTCTCTCCCGCCTCTCTGATCCACTGATTCTCTGCTGGCCCTGATTCTCAGGTGGGCTGGTGCTGTTTGGGATTTGCACCCTTGTCATGGACGTCTTCAAAACTGGTTACTACTCCAGTTTCTTTGAGTGTCAGTCGGCCATCAAGATCCTACACCCCATCATCCAAGCTGTGTTTGTCATTGTCCAGGTGGGTAGAAGGAATGTCCCCATATGGGGAAGAGCCTGATGCTTGGGAGATCTGAGCTCCACACATACCCACACACCGCCCCCCTCCACCCTGAGCAATTCAGTGAAAGGACTGTGGTAGAGATCATATGAGCCCATAAACAAGGAAACACTGACTCATGGAGTGATGCCTAAATGTGAGTTCCTACTTAGGGATGCTGCAATTTTATTTTGATCTAAGTGGTGCCAGTAATTAACACCTAGGAGGTGCAAGTTGTGACAGCTGGCCCCGTCTGATAGAACCTTGGGTGTCCATGGAGGGCGTCCGTGCTGCCTAGGGTTGTGCTGTGGCCATGGCCATGGCTTGTTTGATCTCAGCCATAGCTGAATGCATGGTATTTGTTTAGGAGGCAGGGCATCCCATAACTAGGATTTTTCCCCGACAAGTTCAAATAAATTTCTTTTCTTTTTCCTCTTGTGACTCACTTCATGAAGCCCAGACTGGCCTTGAACTCCTTTCTCACCTCCCAAGTTCGGGAATTTCAGGAGTGTGTGCCACACCTGGCTTGTTAGTTTTTTTGTTTTAATGTGTTGCATAAAGACCATTTTGAAAGAGCTGAGTAAGTTGAGGTGTGACTGCTCTTGGATGGGACCAGAAGAGAAGCTCACCTTGTGATACAAGCAAGAAGACCAGGGGATGGTGCCATGCTTTGACACATCCTCCTGGCACCCAGATGTCCACAGTGCCACACACATGTGGCTGTGGCACTTAATGTAGCTTTAGCCTTTTACATCTCATAAGTTTGAAGACTGCTCAGGAAAAATGAAAACAGAAATGCCCCCACATCGGTAGGTCCCATGGCAGGGACTCGGCGACAGGGATTCAGACGAGGCCGTTCAGATCCACAAAGGAAGCAGGTAGCAGGGAATGTGCACAGAGTCAGGGGTGTTGACAGGACAGCCAGGAGTTCAAGGTCACTTCCTGCTACATAATGAGTTCAAGGCTAGCCATTGGGAAGCAGAGACAGATATCTGTGAGTTTGGGGCCAGCCCAGTCCACACATGGAGTTCCAGGTCAACCAGAGCTGCATGGAGAGACCATGTCTCAACAACACTAAAACCCAAAGACCTTTTTACATTAAAATCTTGAGCAAGATCTGGTCTGAGCCTGACCTTCTCCCAGAAATACATCACTTGGTAGCCAAGACTTCACTCGCCCCTTTATCAATCCAGGTCCCACAAATCTTATCAAGATGAAAATGTCTTACAGGTGATATTTTCCTAATCTTTAAGAAACAAAGCCACTATTTTTTTAACAAGCTGAAGTATAGAGTAGAAAAAGAAGTTATTCCCTCTCCCTTGTAATCAAAATAAACCTGATTAGTCTAGGGATACTGGGTGTGGGTGGCCGCTGGGCTCTGGAGATTAGCCCATGTACACGGGGCTGAGCCTATCCCTCTCTCTGTAGACTTACTTTCTCTGGGTCTCCGCTAAAGACTGCACCCACACCCACCTGGACCTGACCCGGTAAGAACCACAGCTCCGTGTCTGTGGGCCAAGGGCTCACCTGGCATGAGAGAGGAAGCTTTTCATCCTGGGTGTGGCTCTTCTAAGTCCTGGGTGGGGTTTCAGCCACCCCTTCCTCTTTGTCCTTACTTTCCAGCGCCTGGACTGTGCCCTTTCCCCTAGTGGGGCCTGAGCCTCGGGACACCCGCTGGCCCCCTCTTGTCTGGCATCCCACCAGGCTGTCTTGCTTCCAAGTCCAGTTCCCCCGTTCGTAGGGGCCCATCTGCCTCCTCATTTTGCAACCCTGTTTCTCAGGAGGGCTCCCGACCCTGCCTGGCTCTGCCAGGGACCCACAGTGAGCTCAAGACTCACGAGCCTTTCGTTTGCCTCGTCCGTGCCTCTGAAACAGGTGTGGGCTCATGTTCACCCTCACCACCAACCTAGCCATCTGGATGGCGGCCGTCGTGGACGAGTCCGTGCACCAGGCCCACTCCTACAGCGGCTCTCATGGCAACGCCAGCCACGCCCGCCTCGCCCCTGACCGTAAGTTCCCTGTTAGCACTGGCCCTGTGGCTGCCAGGCACTGGATGGGTGCTTTGCGTATTCATAGTCAGTCAAGCATGCCTTTTGCCAGGGCATGGTGGTAAAGGTAGAGTCTGGGGGGGGCCTCCTCCCCCTCCAAGCGCTCCCTCAGAAGAGTGGGTAGAGGCAACAAGGAACAAGAATATTTAGTGTATTTCCTCATCCTTGTGGGTACAGTCTTGGCCATACCGTCCAGGTCTCCATTCCATCAAGAGAGAGCCAAGCTTCCAGAAGGAAGGGCAAGAGTGATGAGGAGGAGGAAGGGAAGGAGACAGAATGGGGCAGCCTTTCCAGTCTGGGGTGGAAGGAAGGCAATAAGTGCCCCCCCCAGTGTAGCGACATCACTTGGACATATGACTGCCTTGCTTGGTACAAAATGCCTCAAATGTTCTGTTTAACAGCTCCCCTTTGAAGATAAATATTACTAATGTTCCCCTTTTATAGAAGCAGGAACTAAACACAGGGAGGTTAAATAGTTGCCCGAGGTCACAGAGCCTGCCATGGAAGTGCTCAAAATCACCCTGGCAGTTAGCCAGTGAGTTACCCAGAGAAAGAACATCTTTCACTGGTTCTAGACTTCTCCTCTGCCCAGGACCAAATCAAATAACTAAGACTTCCACATATACCCACAACCCCTACTGTCACAAGGGAGGCTTTGGAAATTGGAAGCATGACCTAGGCCTGCAGAGAGATCCTAGTGTAGAAGGATTGATAAGAGCCACCTGGTGGGGGCTGGAGAGGTGGCTCAGAGGTTAAGAGCACTGACTGCTCTTCCAGAGGTCCTGAGTTCAGTTCCCAGCAACCACATGGTGGCTCACAACCATCTACAATTCAACCTGGTGCCCTCTGTATATGTAATAAATAAAATAAATCTTAAAAAAAAAAAGAGCCACCTGGTGTATACGGGGACTCTTGGTGGTGGAGAGCACAGCCCCAGGCAGGCGGTCACCTTAACAGATGAAACTCTGGAGTAGGAGAGGCTGCAGCGTTAGGAGTTAGGCATTTTTCCTCGGCTCACCCACTATATTCTCAGACTTCACTGGGCCACAGCTTCTTCATTCACAAATCCAGCTGGGGTAGCTCTGGGGCCAAAAGAGCCATTTGCTGATGCTCCCAGCGTCCTGGACAGCACATTCTGAATCCCCCTGGGTGTGGCTAGAACTGAAGTGATGGGAATCGTGGTGGGGGTCTGGACACAGCAGCTGGGGCTCTGAGGGGATCAAATGTGGGGGAAGTTGTAGGCAGCTGACCTGGGGGAGAGGGTTTCCTTTTATGGGAACCAGAGCCTGCCTAACTCAGGGAGCAAAAGGTCCTCATGAGTCAAGAGGAACTGGAGGAAGTTCTTTTTTTTTTTTTTTGTATGTGTCTGAGTGTGTGTGTGTGCTCCTGTGTGTGCGTGTGTTCAAGCCAGAGGTCAGTGTTAAGTGGTTCCTCAATTCCTTTTCTTTTCTTTTTTATGGGTATTTATGAATTTATGGATTGTGTGTGTGTGCACACGCGTGTATGCGTGTGTATGTATGCGCGTGTGCGTGTGCATGCAGAGATCATAAAACAACTTTTAAGAGTTGGGGCTCTCCTTCCACCGTGTGGGCTCTGGGAATTACACTTTGGTCACCAAGCTTAGTGGCAATTGGTGGCAGGCACATTTTGTACCTGCTGAGCCACCAGACGGGCCCTCCACCTTACTTTTTGAGACAAGTTATCTCCCTAAACCTGGACCTCACAGCTTCAGCTAAACTGGCTGGTCAGCAAGCTTCAGGAGCGTCCTACCTCTGCCGCCCAAGCACGGGGATCATAGGCATGTTCCACCACACCAAGCTTCTTCCACAGCTCCAACTCAGGTTCTCATGCCCGCATTCCAAGTGCTTTAAACTGCTTTTATTTTGTTTGCATCGACTGTTGGCTTGCATGTATGTCTGTGTGAGTGTGCCAGATTTTGGAGCTACAGACCATTGTTAGCTGCCATCTGGGTGCTGGGAACTGAACCCCGGGTTCTTTGGGAATACAGTCAGTGCTCTTAACCTCTGAGACATGTCTCCAGGCCAAGCCCCAGATTTTCACTGTTTTATTCTTGGCACTGATTTGTCTTGTAGCGTACAGCACAATAAGTCACTATGGGAAGCAGACGCCAGACCCTGCGAAGTCCTTTTGGACTGCAGTGGTAACCGACAGAGACAAACCCCTGTCCTCACTTGTCACGAACTAGAAGAGGAGGGTAGAGCCCGGCCTACCCTCTCTGCTTCTCTCCACAGCACAGCGAGCGGGCGGCACAGCCGGAGGAGACCCGTGCCCGTGCAGCACAGCCGTCTGTCAGATCTTCCAGCAAGGCTACTTCTACCTGTACCCCTTCAACATCGAGTACAGCCTCTTCGCTTCCACCATGCTGTACGTCATGTGGAAGAATGTGGGTAGGCTGCTGGCCCCCACCCATGGCCACGGCCACGCACCATCCAGGGTCAGCCTCTTCCGGGAGACCTTTTTTGCTGGTCCAGTCTTGGGCCTGCTTCTCTTTGTTGTGGGTCTGGCTGCCTTCATCCTGTACGAGGTTCAGGTGAGTGGAGAGAGAGACCAGACCCAGAAGGCCCTGGTCACTTACTACACCTTCAGCATCGTCTGTCTGGGGCTCATGACTTTGGTCAGCTTGAGTGGCTCGGTCATCTATCGTTTTGATCGGCGGGCCATGGACCACCATAAGAACCCAACACGTACCCTGGATGTAGCCCTGCTAATGGGCGCCGCCCTGGGCCAGTATGCCATCTCCTACTACTCCATTGTGGCTGTGGTGGTGGGCTCGCCCAGGGACCTGCTGGGGGCACTCAATCTGTCACATGCCCTGCTCATGATCGCCCAGCACACCTTCCAGAACGTGTTCATCATCGAAAGCCTGCATCGGGGACCACCTGGGGCTGAGCCTTGTGAAACGCCCCCCAAGGAGCCCTGTCAAGGTATCACCTTTGCCAACCTGGATGCCATCCACACCTTGCCCTCCTGCCCACCCACCCCCAGGCTGGCCAGCCCCAATCCAGAAAGTCCTCAGGACGCAGAGGCCATCATCATCTCAGCTCCCCGGTGCCACTGGCGACGCCGGTGCCTAAAGGACATCTCTCTGTTTCTCCTACTCTGTAATGCCATCGTGAGTAGTTAAGGGGTGTGAGGGCGAGGGTGGTGGAGATGCCCCTACATCGGGGGAGGGTTGCTATCCCTGTCTTGCCAAAGGCTCATTCTGGAATTTTATATAGGAGTAGGTCCAGAGAGGGACAGCTGCAGCCTTTAGGCGAACAGCCTTGAGGGCACACAGGGACACAGGGAGCCTGCCGACCTCTGGCAGGTCGAGTCCCAGGGGAGGCTGACGTGGGGGGCTGGGTGGAGCTGGAGGGTGAAGGGCACCACCCCCAGTGGGAGGTGTGAGTGCTCCCAGGATCTTGTGACCCGTTTGCTTCTGGGGATAATTGGAGCAGCCTCAGGAAGTCGCAGAGATCAGCCTAAGTGTGAGCAGACTGTTGACAGGGTGCAGCGGAGGGCTGGCTGGCTGGGACAAGGGCTGTGCACGGCAGCTGCCCCTCCCAGGTGACTTGGCAAAGCCAACTACAAAGATCGAGAGGCTTCATCCAGTACAAGTGTGTTCTCTGGAAGGAAATACCCCAAGGCAGAAACCCTCAGTGAGGTACCCCCAAAGAGAAGCATTCCTAGCATAGCTACACACAGCACAGCCATACCCCAGTGTAGCCTCGACCCTCAACACAGAAATGTCTGCTACAGAAATGTGCACCTGTGGGGACAGTTGGCCTCTGGGTCTGCAGGTCCCATGCCCAGGATTTACTCAACCCTTAGATGGAAAATATTGGGGAAAACATCTGATCCTATTGGACATATCTTTCCCTCGTCATTGTTCCCTAAACAAAACAAAGTACGAATTATTTCCATAACATCTATATATACATATTGTGAACACGGTAATTAGAAGTATACAAGAGGATGTACGCAAGTCATTTTATATAAGGGACTTGAACATCCTTGTGCGCTGGTTCCCTAAAATATTGCTTCCAAGGCCAGTTCTTTAACCAATCCCCCACCAACACCAAATGATAGCTGTGCATCTCAAGCAGAAGAAAAAACATCTCCAATGAAGTCAGACTCGATACAAAAACAGCCGTATATCCTGCAGTGGAGTGTCCCTGAGATAGAAACGCCCTAATGTAGTCATATCCCCAGGCTGGGAATACTCGGCCATCATCCCCACCCCACCCCCTCCCCCCCATGCAGACTTCCACTAGTCAACTTTGCTTTAAAGAAAAAAAAAATCAGTCTTCAGGCTCTGACCTTACCAGGAGAAGCAATAAGGCTCAAAACCTCACTGTACCCGGGGCCCACTTGGGTGTATGGCCTCTGCGTGTCTGCCCGTCTCCCGCCTCCAGCCTGGAGGTTGAGAGCTGCCTTCCAATGCCTTCCAAGAGGCTGTTCTTGCTGCAAGTACCTGAGTCCGAATCGTTCTTGTCAGCATCTCCCGTCGCTCATTTTCTACAACAGAAGCAGATTCGGGAGAGGCTGTGATGCTGTATGTCCCCCCGCCCCGCCCAGCCCCACCCGGCCCCAGCACGGAGTTAATTGGCATAGGGGTTAGGCTAGTCTTTAAGACTTGGCCCTTTGTCCAGTATCCCACGCCGATAAGGAAGGTCTGAGTTCCTATCTGGAGGTGAAGCAGGAGTCTAGCCTTGGCCTCCTGTCACCCATGGAAGGGACAAGGAGGAGGCACGGAGCAGAGGAGCAGGTGGTCTCCTGGCTGAGTTTCGAACCCACCCCACCCTGTCACCCTAGACTTAATTGATTCCACCACCACCAGGAAGTATTCCAGCACACTCCCCCCCCCTTCAGCTATGCGTATCAATGCCTTACATCACTTATTGAAATTTCCATCTGATAGGAAGGCCGAGGGTGGGAGGAACGACTTCAAGAGAGTCCCCAGCCCAGTTTAGTTGGACAAACTTCCTCAGCTCCTCACTCAGGCCCTGTCCTCAGTTCTGGAGACTGACCGTCCCTAATGGCCACCAAACTGGAAGGCTGGGATCCCATTCCCTTCCGCCCAGCAGAGCCCACAGATGTCACAAGCGGGCTCCTGATGCACCCCTCTCCCCCCACAGCTGTGGATCATGCCTGCCTTCGGCGCCCGCCCGCACTTCAGCAATACCGTGGAGGTGGACTTTTATGGTTACTCCCTCTGGGCGGCCATCGTCAACATCTGCCTGCCTTTTGGCATCTTCTACAGGATGCACGCCGTCTCCAGTCTGCTGGAGGTCTATGTACTGTCCTGAAGCTCCGCAGAGACAAGGCAGAGGAACCCCAGCGCCTCTGGGGGTGAATCAGGCTGGCGCTCACTCTCTGCCTGCCCCAGACTGGAATTTTCACCAAAGTTTATTTTTCCAGGATGAATTTTTAAATCAAAATCGAGATGTGCCCGCCCGTCTACTCCTGCATGACCCTGGAGCCTGGGGAGATGGAGGCAGGGCAGCATTCCCTAGGACCAGGCAGGATCTGGAAATAACCGTCTCTGACTCTGTCTCTAATCCCAGCCATGCGACCTGTGCACTGTCTGGAGTTAGGAATCAATAAACCTGCAACTGCACTTTTGTCCCGGCTTCTTGTCTTGTCTGTGATGATCACAGGAGAGGAACCTGGGGTTCTGAGCTGAAAAGATTCAGGGTTTTCAGACACCTACCTTTTCGGTGGGTGAGCTGAGCTGAGTCCAAGATGCAGACTTTCTGGGCAGTGGATAACAGGGTGACTGGGAAGGACCAATGGAGTGCACACGAATGTGATTGTCTATGATACAGGGTAACGAGTTAGGGAGGACTGATTTAATCTAATGTCCATGCTTTACAAGGAAGGAAAGTGAGGCTCATGTATAGAAAGAGCCAGAGCCTCTTGCCTCTATGTGTGTGTGCGTGTGTGTGTGCGCGCGCGCGCGTGCGTGTGTGCATGTGTGTGTGTGTGCGTGTGTGTGTGCATGTGTGTGTGTGTGCTTGCACATATGTGCAGGTGGGTGTAGAGGCCAGAGGTGGACCTCGGGGAGCTCTCCACATGTGTGAGTGTGTGTATGTACAGGTGTGTGTGTATTGTGTGTACAGGTGTGTGAGGGTGTGTGTGTACAGGTGTGTGAGGGTGTGTGTACAGGTGTGTGAGGGTGTGTGTACAGGTGTGTGAGGGTGTGTGTACAGGTGTGTGTGTATTGTGTGTACAGGTGTGTGTATTGTGTGAACAGGTGTGTGAGGGTGTGTGTACAGGTGTGTGTTGTGTGTACAGGTGTGTGAGGGTGTGTGTACAGGTGTGTGAGGGTGTGTGAACAGGTGTGTGAGGGTGTGTGTACAGGTGTGTGTGTTGTGTGTACAGGTGTGTGAGGGTGTGTGTACAGGTGTGTGTTGTGTGTACAGGTGTGTGTGTTGTGTGTACAGGTGTGTGAGGGTGTGTGTACAGGTGTGTGTGTATTGTGTGAACAGGTGTGTGTGTGTGTGAGGAATCATCCACCTTTTCACTTTCTTCTTATTCTGTGAGCTCACTTCGTATGACTAATCTTGGTAGCCCACTAACCCTGGGGCTTTCCAAGGCTGGAAGGACAAGCAAGTCACCACAGCCACAGGGTGTTTATCATTTATGTGAATTCTGGGAATCCATAGAAGTGCTTTGACCAGTGAGCAGCATGGTTTTGCCTGCCTGTATGCTATGATCATGTAGGACAGGGTTTCTTGTGGGAAGCTCACAAAATTAGCACAGCTACCTGGCCACTAAGCTCTAGAGATCCTCCTGGCCCTTCTAATCTAAGTCCCGGCCCCTTTATTATAAATGTGTGCCTACACCCAACATTTTATGTGGTGTTGGGGAGCCAAATCAGGTTTTCACACTTATGTGACAAACATTTTACTGACTGAGCTATCTCCCCAGTCCTCAAACTTCCTTATTATGAGCAGTGGGGGTTTTTGTAGTTGTTATTAACATTTTTAATTGATTTGTGGTCATTGTAAGTGTGCCATTTCAGAGTACATTGTGTCAGAATCAGATCCGAGTACTGCCACATTGGTTGCCTCAGACCAAAACCATTGTGTATGTGTGTTGGGAGCATTCAAAGTCCCCTCGATTCGCTGTTGTGAAATACACAGTGGACTGTTGCCAGCCATTGTTCTATACACAGGAGGAGATCCTTCCTTCCATCTGAACCTGAACCCATTAACCCTAAGCGGCGGACGTGTCCTCTTCAAACACCTGGGGAACATGGGGAGTTCTTAGCCTAGATATAAGAGGTGGCCCCAGCTTAAGAGAAGTTGGGGGAGTCCTTACTCCCCGGGTTTCCCAGTACTTACTCTGCTTGGGGTCCTTTAGGCAGCTGTCCAAAGCCACAAGACTTCTGACCCGCACAACTGTGTACAGAGATGGAGGGAGAGGGGAGGAAAACTGAAAGCTAGAGGGACAGAGGGACAGAGTTGGTTTTCTGTTTTTGAGACAGGGTCTCACGGCTCTAACTCCCTATGTAGCCAAGGATGACCTTTAACTCCCGTGGTTTTTACCTCCCCACCCAAGTACTGTGAATTACAAGTGTGCACAACTCAGTTTGTTTATTTTAATTTTTTATTACTTTTTATTTTCTCTCTTTATATGCGTGTGTGTTCACCTGCTGTGCTGAGTGTCCCAGTGGAGGTCAGAGGACAATTTGCAGGATCGGTGGTCTCCCTCCGCCTTACGGGTCCGCGGGGATGGAACCCAGGTCCCTCTGAGCAGTTACCCTCTGAGCCATCTCTCCAGCAGAGTCAGAGACTGGAACGGAGACCTCGCAGCCAGAAGGGAGGGAGAGCCAGGCCTGGATTAGGATGAGTGAGGACCGTGCTGGCGGTGGTGGCGTCTGGGAGAACTGTGTGAGAGCACAGACGCTGAGAGCACGGGAGGCATCAGGGGAAAGAGTGTCCACAGGTCTTTGAGGCTGGAGGTGATGGGGATGTGAGGCGGAGAGGGGAGGGGAAGGAGAAGGGGAGGACCAGAGAAGGCCCTAAAGACTGCTCCCCCCCAGCCCGCCCCTCCCCCGCCTTCTAATCCAATCTCCCACCTTGGGTCTCTTCCATCCCAACTTCAGGTTTGACGTCAGGCAGAGCGTCCCGAGAGACGCGGCTTTGGAGCTGGGTCAGCCAGGTAGGGTGTGGAAAGAGGCGACCTGGACCGGGAGAGAAGAGGGTCCCGTTCGCAGCTCAGACGCCACAGGCAAGTGTAGCCTGCAGACAGCGAGCATCCGGCGCGGGGCTGAGGACAAAGCACCCCCCCATAAACTTTGGGGACTGCCCCGACTCGGACCCTGCAGGCGGCGTCCGCCCCGCCTCCTGCCACGCCTCCACGGCCCGTCGCCTCGCCATTGGCTACCCGTCCGAGCCCCCGGCGGAGTAATTAACGAGGGATTAATGAGATTCCCAAAGTCAACAGAAAAAATCGATGGGCCTTGGAGCCCGAGCGGCGGCTGCGCAGTCTCGCGGGGGGGGGGGAGGAAAGGGCGTCGAGGCATCTGTCCCAGGGCTCCTGGGGCCTCACCTGGACGGAAGATACGCGCTGCAGTTCAGGCGTGGGGGAGCCCGCGACGATGGCTTCGCAGACCTCAGGTAGGGCTCCCCGGCTCGAGCTGGGACCCCCCGCCCCGAGGGTCCGGGGACAGCTGACCGCTCACAGTCACTGCTCCAAAGTGGGGTTCATGAGCCGGGGGCTACAAGGACTGGAAAGAGGGGAGAGTGAGTGGGGCGGCCCAAGGCTGTCTCCCATGCATCGCGCACCCCAACTCTGGCTCTGCGCCCACCTCCTCATCTCTACTTCACCCTCTGTTTCAAGGGTTCTCACAGCCCAAAGAGGGTGCCCAGGCCTGAAAGAATCCAGAAACCTGGATGGATGGTTGCTTAAAAAAATGTATAGTGTTGGGGCTGCCTAGACTTCTCTCCCCCGGGCTCAGCACGAAATCCCGAAGCTTCCGGGCTTGCTCCTCAGCCTCCCGCGGAGCTGGCCCTTCGCTTTTGGCCCTGTCGCCCCGACGGTTGTCTTCTTTCATCGCCCGCCTCTGAACGCGACCCATAAACCAGTTTGGTGTCTAGGACCTCCCTTGGAAGGGCGTCGTGCCGAGAGGTGTGCCAAGGATGGCAGAGTTCTAGCTGGTTCCAAGCGCATTAGTTGTAGCTCTTTTCCCTGGACCCCTTGATGTCCACCCTCGTACCTTGCCTGGCAGTGAACCACGCTTGCCCCTTTGGTAACCGCTGGTGGAGCACTGAACCACGGGCGTGGGAGCACGAGAAACCCTCAGAGTGCAAGCCCTTTGAAGGGAGAAGACCTGGAACTTTGTTCTCCTGGGTCTCCACACACCTCCGCCCCCACAGCCTGCAGTCTGAGCAAAAACTCCAACCTCTCGGTCCCCCCTAGAATCTTGATCTATAGGGAAGTTCAGAAACATCTACCGGGCACGGTTCTTCGTGTATTTTCGTGTATCATATTATTAAATTCTGATGAAACTCCTGAGGTAGGTATCATGTATTCATTCTTTCGTTTATTCATTCAAGAGAGGGGGGATGAGAGCTAGATTTATTGAGCAAGCCAGCGAGATTTATTGAGCACCGGGCTTTACCATTCTATAGCTGCTCGCTGATTTCGCGGATGGACAAGGGCACTGACTACAGAAACTAAGTAACTTGGCCAAGATCACAGAGATGCTAATTGCCATCCGGGCTCGTGATCAGTAGGGAGTGGGAAAGGGAGGGTAGATTGTGGGGCAGATGAGGTGGAGCCACCAGGACTGGCAGAAAAGGAGCAGGGAGGTGTCCTGGGAGTCTTACCTTGCTCGACCTGAGTAGAGGAGGTAAAAAGATAACCATTTGGACAGCCTCCTCGGCTGCACTGGGGTGGAAAGAGTTAAGGGACAGGGTCTCTGTCCGCAGCTCTGGTGCTGAAATCCCCCTCAAGAGACAGCCAGGCTCCAGGGCAAACATTGGCTGGGTTTGGGGACTGCTCGATTTGGAGAGGTGAGTGGAACAGGATCCCATCTCTGACATGGAGGAGTTCCAGATCTTGAGGGAACCAGCTCTGGGTGATGCACACCCATGCTCGGCTGAGGAGTGGCCCAGCAAAGTCGCCACGTGCCTGCTCTGGCAGAGGGAAGACTTATGCGTGAAGAGGCTGGACGAGGGTCATTGGTGTGGGAGCTGGCAGCAAGAGAGAAACCACAGCAGAAAAGGAAGCCAAGAGAACACATGGAAAACATGGAGGCCTCTATTTGGCTTTGAATGGATATGGGGAGCCTGGGCTGTGGCCAGGGCTTGGATGGGGCGGGGGGGGGGGGGAGGTAGAATTGTCTCCAAGAATTGACAGGATGGACTGGCAAAGGGCAGAAACTTGTTTATAAAGTCCTGAAAGGTGTTCAAAGTTTAATACTTCACTGCCCAACAGAGAACACCAGAAGTTATCAGTTCTCCGAATTGCTCGGGGTGTGTGGGGGGAAATGGGGCCCCAGGGAGGCTGTGGTGGGGGCCAGTGTGGTGAGAGCCTCCTAGTGGGGTCTTGATGGACAGACAGAGTAAAACTCCTTAATGAAGGAGGAACACGCTGGACAATGCAATCAGCAAGGGTGCCGGGAGGTGACAAGAAGGGGCCCTCGCCCAGCCCCCTAAAGGACCAGCTGGGGTCGCCAAAGAGCAAGAAGGTGGGGATCATAGACAAAGGACGGGGGGGGGGGGCAAGAGCAGAGGGCATTCTGGGAATACAGCAGGATGCTGCAGCCCATGGGGAGAGCAGAGGGGGCTGGGGAGGTTAAGTGAAGGCAGGCGCAGGTGGCGATAGTCCCTCTTCCTTGAGCGCTGTGTGCTCCAGACCCTCATCAGCACACACTATCTCATTCCACTCTGTAAGGCCCCGTAAGCCTTGGACTTTATACTGAGGGCGACGGGCTGTCTTTGCAGGACTCTCGGCACCCTGAACAGGAAGGCCAACGCGGGAGAGAACAGATGGGCTCCAAAGTAGTGCTTAACCTAAGTAGTCAGGCAGGCATAGAGGTACAGAGGTACAGGTATGGGCAGGTGTGTATAATCCCAGCTCGGGGGGAGGCAGAAGCAGGAAGATTGGGAGTTCAGGGCCAGCTTGAGCTCCAGGGCCAGGACATAAAGAAAGCAAGCTAAGAAGAGGGAAACCAAGAGGCAGAGAAAGAGACAAAGGAAAGGAGGAAGGTTACAGGCAGACAGTGTGTGAGCCACCACCACCTGGCATTTTGTTAAATGTATCTAAGAGCAGCGAAGCTGTAGGGAATGCTCTCTCTCTCCTCCAGCCCTTCATCTCTCCCCCAGAAGACAGTCTATTGGGCATCATCTAGACCTTGCCTGTATCTACAGATACTCCAGTGTCCCTAGTAGAGCATTACTCCAGACGCAGCATTCTTTCCCAGCAAGCCCAGACTCAGTGCAACCCTGCAGGCAATCACACCTCACCTTCAGGGAGACAGCCCCTGCCCTCCTGACTTCATGAGTGGAATTTCTCTATCAACTAGCAGGTTCACACTGACTTTTGCTGATGAAAGGTTTGCCCGGTGACAGGACAGTACTCAGGTTACCCTTGCCGCCTGGATAAGGCCATTACCCCACTTTAGGATGAGGCGTTGAGCTGAGAAGTGAGATGCTCTAGTCATGGGTGGGGAGGGGAAGGTGACTCTCGATGTATTCAAACTAATCTTTTATGCTCATGCGAAACATGAAGGAATTTTCATATATATATTCTCAACCTTGGGTCCCATAAGGGCTCCATAGTATTCTCTCATTGCAAAGACATTAGGAGCTGGGATGGACTCCAACCCAGGTCCCCTTGTCAGTTAGTGTATCTACTCTCTCTCCCTCTCCAGCCCCTGCTGAGGTTGCATCAATGTCATCTTCAGAAAGAAAGACCAGTGAAGCAGAATCTACTTATGACCAAGCAGACATGGCAACCAAACCCATAGGGCTCCCGTGCCCTCCAAAGCAGAAGTCCTGGCTAACGAGGCATTTCTCCCTGCTGTTGAGGAGAGACCGGCAGGCCCAGAAGGCCGGGCAGCTCTTCTCAGGGCTCCTGGCCCTCAATGTGGTATTCCTGGGTGGGGCGTTCATCTGTAGCATGATCTTCAACAATGTGGCTGTCACTCTGGGTGATGTGTGGATCCTGCTGGCTGCGCTGAAGGTCTTGTCCCTGTTGTGGCTCCTGTACTATGTGCTGGGCACCGCTCGGAAGCCCCACGCAGTGCTGTACCGTGACCCTCACGCAGGACCCATTTGGGTGAGAGGTGAGCGCTCCGAGCTAGGAGCGTGGAGGGAGCGGGGGAAGGAGAACCCGTTGGGGAGCAGGTGTCTATGCCCGCCGTAGACACCAGGCCATCCTCTCCCGGCCAGGCTCCCTGGTGCTCTTTGGAAGCTGCACCATCTGCCTGAATGTGTTTCGCATGGGCTATGACGTGAGCCACATTCACTGCAAGTCAGAGGTGGAACTCGTCTTTCCAGTCATCGAGATCATCTTCATGAGTGTCCAGGTGATGGGTCTCTCACACCCGCATCCCTCTGGGGCACACACGCCACCCAACCGACACTAAAAACAACCACATGGGTAACGTCTCCGTCCCCCAGGGTGTAGCCCACCCCCGTGCATGCATACTTCCATGACATTCCTCTGCGCATGCGCACCTCTGCACATGCCCATCTCCCAGATGTAGACACCTATAAACACATTCGTCTGTATGCGCCTGCGTATTCTTGAGCCCAGCTCCCAGAGACCACGGTTCTCCATCTGTTGGGTCTCTGCCGTGCTGTATTCACGTCACCCCTATTTCCCTCACCCCAGCAGTGACGATCGAGGCCCTTTCACTGCTACAGCACAGGGATGTTTACTACTGGCCCAAGACCACACAGGAAACGGAAATGGCAGAGCCAGGATTCCAGCCCAGGCTTCCTTATGGGGTCTTCCATTACACACACACACACACAAGCACACACGCGCATGCACACATGTGTACACGTGCACACATACACACGCATGCACACACATGCACGCATGCATGCACACACGTACACACACAAACACACACATGCACACACAAACATACACACATACATGCATGCACATGCACACACACATACATGCACACACATGCACGCACACATACACACACAAACACACACGTGCACTCACATACATACACACATACATGCACACACACGCACCCATACACACATGTACACACATGCATGCACACATACACACACAAACACACACGTGCACTCACATACATACACACATACATGCACACACAT